CACACACACACACACACACACACACACACACACACACACACACACATGTATCCGCAGCATCCATCCACAAAAGACACTGGCTTGTTTCTTGCACTGTGCGTGTGTGTCTGAGCTTGGATGCAAACACACAGCACTGACATGGTTATAGATTACCGACATGAAGGTTACAGTGAAGGCGGGATGCTTACTTTTTTACGCTGTGCAGGATGCATTTCAGAAGACACCAGATATATTGATGAATAATTGAATATCCCATAGCTGTAGTTTTATAGACCATTGAATATTAAATCAGCAGATAACAATACAGTGAGAATGCAGGACAGCAGGGGAGTGAGAGGCCGGCTCGAAGAGGGTCGCCCCTGCTGTGTCCATTCACTGGGATGTGATGGGTGTGGCAAGTAGCAGCAGACGACTTGTCCTTTCCTCCCTCATCATTAAACTCATTCCATTCTTACATGTGCTTTACACGGTGAAGGTCAGATGACAGATTTAGGAGGCCAGGTTGAGAGCTGTATTAATTGACTGTAATAAATACCAATTATGCATGGAAATGTGTGTGCCAATATGAGAACGGCCTCTTCAGAAGGAGAAATTAGTTGCAGTGATTCCCTTGAAGCTTTGAAACTGTTTTAAAAATGCTGACTGATTGTACAGAGCACGCAACAACCACAGTTTGTTGTTCAACACATGGAATGTGAATGGTAATGTCATCAGCTAAAATAATTCTTGTGGGAGTGATCTCTGTTTATTGCTAGAGCTGTCAGAACGAACTGAACTCTGCCTGGTGTACACATACATTTTTAATATCCCAAAATTATGACCACTTGAATGGGTTCCCCCATTTTACCTCAGTTACTACTCGCCTGCCGTGTTCAGAAAGTTAAAATAGATGTTTGTCACAAGATGCGCAAATCAGTAACAGCTGATTCAGAAACCTGTTGTCGTGTGCTGACTAAAACCAGAATGAGAAAACACATAACACCTAAATCAAAGACATGTTTTTCGGTTTTGTTTTTTAAACCACTTTATGTTGGCAGCGCCCCTCTTGTCTGACATGCTTGCAGTGGCTCGAAATGTTGCTGTCTTAAAATCTGCCTTGAATATTTTTTGGCCATTATTTATTTTATTTCATCATTTATTTTTATTGTATTCATGTTTTAAAACACATTGTTCTCTCCTATTTATTTTCCGTTATCTATTGTATTGTTTTTAATCTATTTCTATTAATTTAATGGTTCTATTCACATATTATATTTTTTAATTTTTATTTCAAGTGTGCATTCGTACTTTACATTTGTACTGTCTTATTATCAGCTTGTCAGTCACTTTTAAAGTAGACTGAACTTCACTTACTTGTATGAAAGCTGCTATACAAATAAAGTTTGATTGATTGACTGTGACAAGAAAACAACATTTTGTCCTTTAACTTGTTTTGAATAGTGACAGTGGAATCTGCCACTGACTTCCTATCTATTTCTTTCCACAGGCATGTATTAAATATATATGTATCAAGCTGAAGAGAAGATGAATAACATGACACAGGAAGTGATTCATTAATCAAAGTGGTGTTGGCCACTGTAAACAGGTCCTGCAGGGATTCTGCAGCCAGCTAAAGCTGAATCAAAGTGCTGCAGCATCGTCAAGGGAGCGAGTCACCAGATGAGTTTTCTCCTGGACTGAAAGAAGATTTGCTGGAGAGTCTGGTGCACACTGATTCAGCTCCTCTCTCTGTGAACTCTAGCTCAGCGGCTTTTGCAAAAGCCAACCTCTGTAAATATTTACATGCCGTGTCTGGCAGCTCTGAGAGACGGAGAACACCCTGAGACAGACAAACTTTTTATGACTCCATGACCTTTTAACTCCAGGTTACCCTCATCGAGCCCTACAGGCAGGGCTGGATGTAAGACTGCTGTGGTGTTTTGGTTTCTTTGAAAAAACAGGACCGAACTCGATCAGTTGCTGCCCTCTTTGTGCTGTTACCTCCCTTTCCCTGCTTGTCTATTTTATTTGCTGCAAGCCTTTAGAAAAAAAAAAAAGAAAGGAAAATCCTGATAAACATATCGTAGGGAAACACTTACTCACAGGCTTTGGCAAGGAATCAGTCAGTGTTTTACCCTACAGAGTCAGACTGCAAAACTCTGAGATTTTCTCTTTCTGAACAAATATAATAACAAAAATAACAATTCCATGTTAAAATACATTTAGCCATTCCTATATTTATAGTAATAATAATAATAATAATAGTAATATCCTTTATTTATAACATACTTTTAAAGTCAAGTGAAAATACACAGTACCATAATAAAATACAATACATACAGTGCAATGAGAAAAAATTAAAAATTTTTTAATCTAACTAAAAGCCTGTTTATATTCATTAAATGATGCTCATACGTGTCAGTTTATTTGCATTTACATGAATGTTATGTTAAATAAAATGACCACATATCTATCTAACTTTTTCTCCTTATACTTAGATATAGCTGGCAGATATATGGAAAGTATGTGGTCATGTTTTAACAATGTATGAAACAGCAACAACTGGTATGTACTGTGATATCCTGCAAATATATTCTAACAATATATTACAAATACAGTTGTTTGTTAAAGGTACATGTAAATATTAGATCTCAGTATATGTAAATATATTTCTGTGTCATAGGTGTCTTTATTAATGAAATGTTTCTTGCTTCCTGGTGAATTACATGGAGCGAGGATGACTGTGCATACTGACGTCTGTGTGAATGTGTAAGGAACTGTGTGTATCTGTGTAATCTGTCTCCTGACCTGTTTGCACACACCATGGGCTGTGCCATGTGTTCCCAGCTGGTTGACATGTGGACTGTGAGAGTGAGCAGGACGGGCCGCAGGGCCATGGAGCTCACCGCGTACCCACAGATGCTCCAGGGAGGCTACCACAGAGTGACAGGCCTGCACTACATGTCCTCCTTCTCTGACGCTGAGGACTGCTGTGACGACACCAGCTCAGGCAGCTCGCTCACCTTGGACTGGCAAACTCAGGGGACTGATGGCTGACACTTGTCCAGGAGGAGTCATCATACAAACATAAACAAGATGATATACACAGGAAATGTGCAATAAATGTATTGATTGGTGTTGAAGAGAAATAGGGTGTGAGTGATGTTGTTTTATCTTAAAATTAGATCAATCTTTCTGCAGGGGTTGTTTTTAGAAGAATGTCATTACCCTGATATCCAGTGGTGGAAGATATATTCAGATCTTTTATATAAGTAAAAGTAGCAATACAACAATGTGAAATGAATCTATTGCAAGTGAAGGTACTCAGGTAGTCAGTTTATAAAATCTGATTAATCGTTATCTGCAACAAGATACTGTTTGTATTGATTAAAACTAGCTCCACCTCAACCTACAACATAAAAAATGCTGCCTGCTGACAATAATATACTAAACATTATAATGTACCGTTATGAAAGATGAGATTTACCTGATAATACTTCTGTACTTTTACATAGGAAGGTAAAGGATCCGAAGACTTCCTCCAACTCTGTCCTTAAGTAAAAGTATGTAGGTTTCATCAGCATCAAGTCGACATATTTGTTATGCAAACAAACAGCTTCTGTTTCTGTAATATCATTATATGTGGAAGTAATGCTGAAGTAGCATTTTACTGTTGTCATTGGTCGAGGATACTTGTAGTTTAATCTATAACAAATTACATATTAAGTTTAAGAACAGTACTCATACTGTACCACTTAAAATGATGTCAGATTGTGGTGTTGAGCAACTAGGGTGCAGGATCGAGGCACCACTCGCACCTGAGCTGAGATAGATGAAAATGTTCCTTGTTTTCCACCCAGCCTCACAGCTTGTTTTGCCAACAGCCAAAACACACACACCAAAATACGCAAATGATAAGACATGCTGGCTGGAAGTACAAAAGTTGGTCTCTGACTCATTAGAAGGAGATAATTGGAGTTTAGTTTTATTGTTACTGGCATTACACACACTTCATTAAAAAGATTTATTATGAATTTGGAGGAGGGGTCGTTTGAAAGACATCTCTTTTTGGTTAAATCTTTTTAGTGTGTCTCTTTGTGGTCGTTTTATGCATGTTTATAGTTGTTTGATTGACTTTCCAACAAGAAAGGTTAAGACTCTTCACACGTACCTGGTTCAAGGACACCTGGGCCTGTATGATTAGGCGCTTAAGTACAGTTTTGAAGTTAATACTTTATTCAACTACTTTATGCTACTATACACTACATTTCAGAGGGAAATACTGTACCTGTTACTCCTACTATCATCTATAATTTCTTGTAACTTTTCAGATTATGATTCTACACAGAAAACTGATGAGATTTTAAAATGACACCCTTCAATATGAAAAGTAGTTCAACTTTACTCCACCTGTACATGCACAACAATAAAATGCTGCTCACATCAGGAACTAGAAGAGAGCATACCTCTGCCAAAGCCGAACAATCCTACACATCTGTGAGATCCAAACTATCATCAGATTATCATCTGGATCTGCAACAAACTGTACAAAACCAGAGTTCAACACCATAAATATTTGTATTTGTATTTGTATTTGTATTTTGATTTTTTTTTTTTTTTACATCAAGATCCAGAGATCAGAGAAATTGATTGAAATGTATCAAAATGCACATTAACGTCTCACAATGTTAAAAGTTCCAGGATCTGCCTCTTTAACCAAAATTGAACGGGTTCTTCCCTGGTCCGTGTCCCATCCCTCCACCACGTTTAATGCAAATCGGTTCAGTACTTTTTGCGAAATCCCGCAGACAAACAGTCAGCTGAAAACACGATAACAACTAGAAAACTAGAAAGTCCTCTATGGGAACTTTTACTTTGTTGCAATAGTGACTTTATGCCCACAGGGAACGAGTTTTTGACGCAGGCTACCAAGGAATTTCTCAAGGCATCCCACTCACACTCCAGAATTCATGGACACGTGAATGAAACATTTCCGCTTCTTCTGATTAACCTGAGTGGGTGGAGGCATCGCCGACAGTACAAAAAAGATTTCCCCTCGGATTCACTCTCACTTTCAGCAGCTTGTGTTACGCAAACAGCATCTCCTCCCTGCAACTCACTTCAGGAAAGCATCGTTCAAACCGAGATGGCAGTCATGATAAGGAACGAGGTTTTCTCCTGTTTTGTTTTCTACGGTGTCCTGCTGGTGATAAAAATGTACATTATAGCGATAATAACGGGACAAGTGAGGCTCCGTAAAAAGGTGAGTCCGTGATTAATAAAGAATTAAGGACAACAGCAGTGACAGCAACATAATATTCACTGTTCACTGATGAAAAGTTTGTTTTTCTTTCCTGAAAGGCTTTTGCCAACCCTGAGGACGCGCTGAGACACGGAGGTTTACAGTATCACAGAGAGGATCCATATGTGGAAAGATGCCGGAGGTGAGAGCAGAGGGCTTTTACTGTGAAAGAAATACTTATTTACTTATTTATAGATTATAACAATGAGAAAAAAAACACCAACTGTTATTTTTTTGGCTAGATTTGACTAGATTATTCAAACATTTGTTTAATCTAAATCTTAATAAATAGAAGTGGCAGTAATACTCTGTGACGACTGACAGTCCTGCATCGAAAATGTTACTCAAGTATAAGTATCAGGAGCAAAATGTACTGACAGTAGGCCTAAACAGTATGGTATTCACCACAGTATATCATTGGATTGTCATTGATGCAGTAAAACTTAACTACCATCTTTGGTTAGGGTATATTTTACATACTGTTTAGTGGCTTAATCCATAACAATGCTATAATTTTTTATGAGTTCATCATATGTGAAACGTTAATTTGTAAAGTAGCTTAAAGGTTTCAAAGAAAGTGAACTAAAGAGTAGAATTGTAGTGGACTAAAAGTACAGTTGTTGGCATTAAATGAAAATACCCAAGTAAAGTGCATTACTTCAAATTTGTGCTTATGTTCAGTAAAAGTGCATAAATGTGCTTTGTTACTTTCCACCACTGATAGCATCAGAACGGCTGTTCACTTCTTTCCCTACTGTTTCTAAATTAGGATATTTCTATCATGATTATTATTGTGTATCTGTTTAGGAAAAGCTTGTGTTAAAAGGAAACAAGTTTATTCACACTGACTGTTCACTGGTTTTGGTGAAGCTTCTGGGATTTCTTTGGCTTTGGTTCATTTTACCAACATGCATGTGCCAAATGATAAAAATAATGAAAAGAAAAACGAATCTCACTTGGATATTTCCTGCAAATGTCAATTTCCCTGTAATTATAAAAGGATATTTTTTTTCTGTGTTTCTGTGAGTTAAATTTTTCCATTTAGATGCAGCTCTTTAGTCAGACCATGTGTTTTATTTTGGCAGCCTGTGGTAATTTTGCTGAGCTTTGTTTTAACTTGTCATGATCCATGACAGTAGTGAGGAAAGCAGATTTTTTTCTACTAGTAAAAAAAGTAAATCTCAGTGGTGACTTAGTCATGCTACAACATTGTGCTAAAATAGTCTGCAAGTCTATTCACCTCTCCCATAATGTACTCTTTCTGCAAGAATTGTTAAGAGGGCAGATTGCCAGGATTAATATTATTATAAAGTTGAATCCTGTGGGTGGAGAGGAAGCAGGAAATTCACATGGCTGTTAAGTAAAAAACTAAATGAGTATGAATCAGTTGTTTAACTCTTGCTCTTTGTTTTATTATGTCTTTATTATTTACCACTCTGTGCCTGTATGCCTGTTGGGATTCCTTAGCTCTCCCTTCTCACTTAATGTTGTAAGGTATCTGTCTCCTCAACCCATCATGTTCAGACGCCTGCTGTTGTATGATGCATGTGAGACTAGCAGACTGACTGAAAGTGATGAGTAATGTTTACTTAGACGTCCTGTCACCCTTCAGACGACCGACTTTGCAGAAATAATCTCAAATTCTAATGAGTAACTGGAATAATTGAGGAATGTCTTATAGAGTGTCATCACTTCACTGAGTCACAACATTACAGGCTATGAGAAGCAGACGTGTGTGTCCGTGGTCAGACTCTGTACGTGAGTGTGACTGAATCTCCTCTCTCCGACAGAGCTCACACTAACGACATGGAGAACATCTTCCCCTTCCTCTTCCTTGGTGCCATCTACTCCCTGACTGGACCTTCGCTGGCTGTGGCCCGCCTCCACTTCCTCGTCTTCTTCCTCGGCCGCATGCTGCACACCGTCGCTTACTTGTCGGCCCTTCGAGCGCCCACCCGCTCTCTGGCCTACACCGTGGCGCAGATACCGTGCGTCTCCATGGCTGTGCAGATTCTCATGGCAGTTGCGGCGTACGCCTAAATATCCAGAGATGAGGGACTGAAGTCTTCTGGCTCGTAAAGGTGTCGGTTACAATTTGCAACCTGTGTCAGAAAAAAAGCAGGAGGAAGATAGTGAGAAGCCTCCAGGGAGGGAGAGCGTGAGAGACGAGAATGTCAGTGGGAGTGCAATATATTGCCAAGGTGTGCGATTACAACACCGCTGGGTGTTGTGAGAATTTGTCAGTATTTTCTGTTGTTTTATTTACAAATGTGACGATGTTTTAAAAGTTAATTGAAGTTGCCAATTTGTACTGTACTTGTACTGGTGTATTTAAAATGCAAATGAAGGTTGGACTTAGAAACTCACTGACTGACAGTTGTAGACATTTGCCTCAAGCCACGGGAACATTTTTCAGCACTGCACTGTACAGTATGTTGATGCCTGCCCCCTTTTTGTGTTTACACACAACACAGACTACCATTCATGTGGTGTTGTATCCACTGTGGTTTCCTGTGTGGATACTCCATCTGTTGTGTTAACATTTTTTTGCATGCTACCTTCAACAAAAGCATAAAGTGGATCCTGGCATGATGACTAATTATGTGTTATAAGATTTTAATACCGCTCCAGTGGAATATTTATATATTTTTACTGTGAGAGTCAAAACTGTCTCTCAAGTTCCTAAGGAAGAAGAAAGAGGTTTTGGACTGAGAAATGAATCTTTACAACAACTTGCAGGGAAAGAAAGAACATAAAAAGCAGTGGAGTAGGTGTTCTGATGTCTAGTATTTAATTTTATCTGTGAAAACACATTTCAAAACCGTTTTTAAAGTATTGCAATAATAATTTATTCTTCAGTTTATTGTACATAGTGATGTTTTTGATTCACTGGATACACTTTTTGTAGCCAATAAAACAAACCACAACCAAACTGTGCCATGCTGTACTTAATGGTTTGTCAATTCAGTGATTTATTCAGGGGATCATTGTTGACTTTGCCTGCTTGTGCAAAGACAGCGTGTTCCAGTGTGAAGGGGAAAGGGCCCCACTTTGTGTGTGAGAGTGAGACGATCCAGAAGTCTGCGGCAAAGCTCCAGCATTCCTTTACCTATTATGTAAGATCTTTCGACTGTGCTGTGTTCTCTGTTGTATCCTGTGGGGATGGATAGGGCTGGGGAACATTATAGACGTACTGAGAGACCTTAGGGGGCTCAGTCATGCATTCACACTGAACACGATTACAGTACGTATGGTGTGGTGTGTGTGTGTGTGTGTGTGTGTGTCAACCGGTTCAAATCACTTGCTGCGTTATGAGCGAAAGGTTCTGTTTTCCCATGTTTTCACATCATCTGTTGCTCAGTTCTTTCACTCTCTCCTGTGTGATTTGTATTTGGCGAGAAGAGATAATTTTCCAACATGATGTAATCCTAGTAATTCCATTTGCAGTGATTTTCCTACGAGTGATGACTGATGACTCAGCTTGAAATTACAAAGCAGGAATGTTTTGTGATTATAGTTTTTACCCTCTAAACAATAGAAATATAACAAGCCCAGAGAGCATGGAAGGACTGGTAAATCCTTTGCTTTGAATGAATGGGCCTCAACACTATATATGATCTGGGTGAAACATAAAGCTATTAACATGCCAGAGAGAGGGGTGTGTCTGTCCTTTGTAAGCGTCAGTGGTGTGGTCGTCTCAACCTGCCTGTGCCCTCAGGGGAAAATGGAAACGAGACACACGTCCTCTATCCTATTACTCCTCACATTTCCTCTCTTTGCCACTCACTTTTTCACCCAATGAACTCACAGGGAGCTGACTCTCTCTCACACACACACACACACACACATACACACACACACACACACACACACCACACACACACACACACACACACACACACACACACACACACACACACACACACACACACACACACACACACAAATCACAGACCGCAATGTAGTTAAACTTGCTGAGTAACCGGAAATGTATGGCTACATAAAAATAACTTTTATTTCATGGCAGATCAGGTGATGACTCTTACAAAAGCTCTGTTTTGGTTGCCCCTGGCTGGTCCCTGTTAGGAGATCAGTTTATGTTGGATAGGGTGGTCTATTGTTCACAGGGTGCAGGGTCATCTGGCTCCTACAATAAAGAAACAGAGTGGTGAGAGCCAGAAATTTAACAAGCAATAAACTGGGGCAAAGCACATTTTTTTTGTGGTTTCATCATAGTGCAATTATACCATTACTTAGCTCCACCTCGTGGCCACACACAGACAGTATTGAAACAAACCTGTGGTTTGTGCAATTTTGACTTTCTGCAGGGACTAACTGTGGCTTTCTGCATAATCACACTCAAACTCCTAATTTTTTTTTACATTCTTTTAAATTATTATTATTTTTTTAAATTACTGTAAATATTACAGAGACAGACACAGAGAAATGAGTGGAAAATAGTGAAGTGAGTATAATTTTAGCCTTGAGAAATCCCTCCATCATGTCATGAACAGTTCAGTGATGAAAGGTTTGAGAATTTTGAAGATCTGTCAGAGGTGAGACTGAAACTCAGGAGCTTGGCATCAATTACCTTTCTGTCACACACAGACAATAAAGCTCCCGAACACAGAAAATGTGTTACTGAACAGAAAGCAATGAAACGGTCAGGTGAAAGAAAGAACTAAAAATAGCAAAAAGAGAAATCAGATGTACATAAAGACGATAAAATATACAAACTTCACCAGGTGAAGTAAGATGAGCTAAGATGGTAAAATGATAAAAGAGTCACTTAAGCCTTTGAAAATCAATTGTCAATAGCTTTTCAATTTTCATTTTCATGTGGTCATAGAACGCCCACATGAGTATGTGAAAATGAAAATGAAAATTGTATTACAACATTTTCTTTTTTAATTTTCTCTGCTTTGCTGGACTGATGAGCAGCAGGAGAACAGGTGTGCTACCTGGGCAGCTCACACAGGTGCCTTGAGTGTTCTTTGTTCTGTGTCCTGAGCTTCTTCTCTGTTCGCCCTTCACCTGAGCCGCTTCCCTCTATCATTTCACCGTTGTTCCTGAGTGCGTCGAGTGAGTTTATATCATTATATTTCCTCAGATCATGTTTATTTTGTTGTTAAGTAGTACATGTAATCTCCTTTGTTAGTTCTCACATGATTATATATTTAGAGTGAGAATGTATTGATGTACTGATGTTGATTTAGAATTGTTTGTTGCTTCATTCAAGATAATATGGTATAATCTGTGTGTGCGCTTTCTTTCATTTGGAGAAATATAAACACTCAACTGTAACCACCTACTTTAATTTTCAAGTTTACATGATTTTCTTAAGAAAGTCCCCAATAGACTTCTATCATGACTTATAATTTTAGCCTGTTATTTCTCTGCAACAGATGCTTTGAGGATGGGACACTATATTTTAACCATTTCTTATTGCTGTGCCAAAGAACAGATTTGTGAATATAATAATAACACTCAGCACTGTCCTCTAAAGTTAGAAACCAAAGGGAGAACCTTTACAATGTGTAAAATCATTAATGTTGCTCTGATGCTGTGTGGCCATAAAATGTTTGTGTAATTTCTTACACCAAAATGTAAGAGTTTCAAATCTTAAGCTTTATATCCAATTAAAAATCTGGATGAGACCTGTTAGGATGTACACTACACAGCTACTGCAGATTATGTGGTTAATGAGGTAACCTAGTGTCTCAAAGTAATGTCAGCTATATAACTTCAGTAGCCTGACTGATGAAAGCAAGCCTTTTTTTCAGAATGACATATGTCTTATGTCTTTAGTAGCTCTTAATGTGGGGGGTTCATTTAAAAAGACTAATGCAATTTCTGCATTCCACATTTTCATTTGCAATTCGGTCTTTGAATTTATTTTATCAGCAAAGTGGTTAGAGAAAAATGTTCACTTCTTGATGCCTCATGTGAACAGTGCCAGCAAATGGACTGAACGATTACAATAAACTCAGTGGTAAAGAAATGACACCAGTTATCGCTTTACAGGTTGGATGTGTATGAAATGTGGTCTGTTTACAGTGCATCTCATCATCATCATCAGTGTTTAAAATTCAGCACCCTGCTTTCATCAGTCAACATAGCTTTCCTCTATGCAGCTTCTTCAAACTCCTGCTGCCAGGATTTGAACATCTTACCTCACAAGTCATTGCGTCATCAGGCGGGCTTCCAATTGCCTTTGGAACTGATTGTTAAAATTTTATTTGATAACCTTTTTTAACAAAACCATAAATCTTAGGCTTATAGCGAAACCGCACACCACTTTTATCTCCAAGAAAAGACAAATTATGTAAAAGCAAGACAGTCTACAGACTGATGATGGTGCTAGATGACAAGTCAGGGGATCACCAAGGTTACTGCAAATTCATCCTGTGGGTAATGTGAGTGTCTGTATCCAATCCATCAAAGTGTTATTGAGACATTTCACTGAAACCACAAATGTGAAGAATCATCAGTCGACAGGCTTCCTCCTCTATGAATGTCAGTGCAGAATTTATTGCAGAGTCAGCAGGATTCATCCTGTGGGAAACATGGATGTCAGAACAAAATTTCTCTACGATCCATCCAATAGTTGTTGCGATATCCAACATTACCGTCCACAGCCACTACCATATCTATCTGCCACTGCATCAAATTACAACTCACTAAAATGGAGTGAAATATTTTACAAGCACCTGCTGATGATGCGTTACTATGAGTCATGTATCTATGCTAAAAAATACACTTCAACAAATTGTCTCTTAAGAGAACATGGTAGTATTTACCTCAACAGGACAACCTTTGTCTCTATCTCCATAATGACCACAAGAGGGAGCTATCAGTCTAACTATAGCAAAGCCTCTCCTGCACTGTCATCTGCAAGATGCTGAATAGCTGTCTCTTCTTCTAAACTAAAAACAAACAGGTGACATTAGGAAACATTACTCCCTGTTTTTTGCTGCATCATCTGAGAATTTCCCTGTAATTTTGCACCACGCTTCACTGCTCCAATGCACATTTTTTTCCTACCATAGTTGTTAAACCTCTCTCCTTTTTATAACCAAAAAAAGAGCTAATGCCTCCTGGGATCGTTACCAAAAAGCAATTTAACCTCGCTACTGCCAATAATACCTTCCCTTTCTCAGTCTCAGCAGGAGATCACTTAGTAAAGTGTAGATTAGATTGTTAGGGAGGGAGGCTATTGACTTGGTCTCTCCTGCTCTGCGAGTGCCAGCCTAAAGAAATATGACAAGCTTTATAAATGACTAACAAAGAAAGCAAACAGGAAAGCTCCTTGTACCAAATGCAGTGAATCTTAACAGAGCTAACAGAGAGATGTCTGCATGGTGAGAACAATCTGTTCTTTCGTATGTGTTGCCTTTTTAAAGCTTTAAGTCAGCTTCCTTAACCTGTACATTTTCTTCAGCCATGCTCCATGAGGACGTGCCTAAGCACAGTGGTGATCTGAGCTAAATGCTAATGTCAACAGCTCATAATGATTTAAATGTTGAGACATTTCACTCCACGGCCTCATCAAAGTAACTGGGATGCCTCTGCTGGGAACCATGAATGTCTGTTCCAAGTTTTGTGCCAATCGATTGGGTAGATGTTGAGATATTTCACTCGATCCAAAGAGTTTTGACCTTCTGGCGGCATTAGAGGAAATGTCAGGGGATCATCAAAGTCATTTGGATTAACCTTCTGGGGAACATGAATGTCTGTACAAAATTTCATGCCAATCCATCCAAAAGTTGTTGAAATATTTTCATCTGGACCAAGGTAGTTGACCAACAAACATCCCTATACAGCCATGCCACTAGCAAGGTTACTAATCTTAAATTAGGTGACTGGTTAGTCAGTCTAAAATAGGCAGCCATGTTCCATGCCCAGCAGTCGTCCAACTCAGACACAACAGGG